CTACCACATCACCCCTTTCATCCCTGATACAGTCATCGATAGCATTCTGACCCTCCTGGGTGACCTGGCCTAACACAAAAGATACATGTCAGCTTCTCCACCTCCAAATACCCAAGCATCATCCAAGATAGTTGTTTGAAACGAAAAGAAATAAAAACATACCTTCTCCACTGCCATGTTCACTCACAGTACCCCAGCCCATACATCCAATCACTCCGATGATAAGTCCGATGACATTTATCCCAACGACTGCCAGACTGACGACAAGGATGAGTAGAAGCGCGCCGGGGATGTTAGTACCGGAAGAGGCGTTTTCGTTCACAGTGGTTGGGATATCCACGGGTATTAGCGTGGTGGAGAGGTGGTCTGATGGCATGATCGGTCGTTTGATGGATGATGATCGTTATGAAATCGTAGGCCGAGAGAATTGTTCGACTCGCAGGTCTTCGGAACGAAAGAGAATTGCGATAAATGGAGTAAGATAATAGCGATGTAAATGATCAGTCTTCTTGCGTCACCCTCAGTACGAGTGTGATGAGCGGGAGATGAGTGATGTTGTTGATAACGAGCGTGATGTGATCAGCGCGAGGAAGTCACGCGTAAGAATCGTCGATAGGCATGCGGAAGAGCGTTTTTTGTAGGAGGCGCTGGTCATCGGTGTAGAGTGAGTGTGTCTGGGTTTTGTCTTACGCTATGGTGGAGGCGCTGGGACTGTCTTGGATTTGTCTGAGTTAGGATGCAACTTCAACACCGTGAATGAGTTTGATGAAGATGATAGAGGATGAATGATGTGTTGGTCTTCAAGGCTATTCTACGCTGGGGATGGAATACAACAGCTGATGATCTCCCAGCGCACTGCGGATGGGATTATACGAGGCCTAGCTTTCGCAGATTTTCTACTAGAGACAGAGGCCGTGCGTGGAGCAGTGCGCACAGTTCTTGCTAATGGGATATGGGCAACGCGTCTACCAAGACAAGGCAACAAAAGATCTCAAGTCACGAAGCCATGCAAATGTGAAATGGATGTCTAAATCAAAATGTACATTGTGGGTATATTGTAATTATCATATCTTCCGACCAAATATTCCGGCGTTCATCATACGCTCATAAGACGAGCATTCATCGTAATGAACCTCTACAGTTTCAGATGCACGTGGCAACCTGAAGCCCTCCTATCGAGACTCTTCATCTCCTACTCCTCGCGTCCGCGCCTCCTGTTGTTATCAATGAAGACCTTCTTGAACCTAAAGTGGCACAAGTCCTTTGTAACCTGCCACGAGCTCTTCGCATTCTCAGCAACAAGCTGGCGTGTAGGCTTCTGGAACAACTGGTCAATCTCCTCAAGCGTGAGATCCTTCGTCTCAGGCATGAAGAAGATCTGGTAGAACCAGCCCAGCACGGCGATGCCGCCGTAGAAACCCAGCGCAAGACCAGTCTTGGTGAAGGTGTTCTGCATGCCGGTGAAGTTGTAGGTGACGATGAAGGAGGACAGGAAGAGCCATCCGGTGGAGGTGGTCATACCGTAGGAACGGAGGTAGGTGGGGTAGACCTCGGAGGGAATGACCCAGGTCAGTGCGGCGTAGGAACCGAAGAACAGCTCGTACAGGATGAGACCGGTGAAGTAGGTGCCGAGAGTAGCGCTCAGAGAATCCATGTGGTATGAGATACCGACAAGGACGAGACCAACCAGGAAACCAGGCAACATGGCAATGGCCCAGAAGCGACGACCGCAGGTCTCCATGAGGAAGATGGCGGGGATGGTGCCGAGGAGGAGGGAGCCGCCTCCGACAAGAGACATGTAGTTGGCGGTGACGGTGTCGAAGCCGACTTGGTGCATCAGGACGGACATGTAGTACATAATGGCGTTGATGCCTGTAAATTGACCCAGGAAGATCATGATGTTGGCGTAGATGATGGCACGGCGAGCACGCGGCTTGGTGAAGAAGTCCATCCATGGGAAGCGGTTGGTGCGTCCAGCAGCGACCTCGGCCTCTTCCATCTCAGTGCTAACCTTCATGACGAAGAACTCCTCGCGAGCCTCATGGGTAGCAGTGCCGCGAATGCGCTTCCAGACCTTAAAGGCCTCCAGAGGCTTGCCCTTGTGCATAAGGTATCGAGGGGATTCGGGCATGAAGAGGATACCGACACCCATGATGGTGGAGAAGACGAGGGAGCTTCCGAGGATGTAACGCCAGTTGCCAGGTACAGTGATGAACATGGCAGCGACGGCGTAGCCAAGAACTTCTCCGAGGGCGATGTTGAACTGGTAGAGGGAGACGAGGTTACCACGGAGTCTGCTCTCGACAGTCTCGGCGACGTAGACGGGTACGGTACCACCTTCGAGACCGACACCAGCACCGAGGATGACACGGGCAGCGACAATCATGCCGTAGTTCATGGATCCGGCTTCGAGCGCACCACCGATGGTGTAGAGGATACACGAGATGATGATAGCCCAGCGGCGACCAAAGTATTCGTTGCAGGGCGAGATGAGGAAGGCACCAGCGACGGCTCCGAGCGGCATACCAGAGTTGACGAGCGAGTTTTGCTGGGCAGTAAGGTGGAGGTCGTCGGGCAGTGTGAGGTTAGCACCAGAGATGAGCGACTGGTCCAAGCCAGATAGCAGACCACCCATGGATGCGAACGCGACAATCATCCATGTGAAATGCTTGGGGTTCTTGAACTCGATGTCGAAGAAGCCCTTCTTGTAGTTGGCCTGCTCCAACTCCTTCTCAAGATCCTGGATCAGGTTCTCGGATTCCCATCCTCTCGCATCCTCGAGTTGTTCTGTCTTTGCCTTGGGTGCGGAGTAGTCCGGTGTAGGTGCGACCTGGATCTTGTCGGCTTTTTCGGTTTGCAGAGTGTGCTGCGGCGACGAGGTCTCCTCGACCATCTTGGTGTCCTTCTCGTCCATGATGGGCAGTGATCAACAAGAGATCAACAGTGAGGAAGGGAGGAAGAAAAAGGAAGAAAGGCTGCAGCAAAAGGCTGGTATCTCACAACCCCCTCCCAAGCGGATGCATCTCCGCCCTTTATAAACCCCAGTGGAGACGACCCATGCCCATGGAGAAGCCTCCCCATGGCGCTCTCCATCCCACCACCAACGTGACGTGACGTACGCGTGGAGTCTCCATGGCACGAACGCGGCAAAAAATTTGCCTTGCGCGGATCGCAATGCCGGGGTAGTAAGCACCAGCGCAAAGCCGGTTGTTGCAGACTTATCATGGGCTGCCCAGGAAGAGTATAGACGGGTGGAGATAAACAAGCAAAGGACCGACCGCCTTGGTGGAGCTTGGCTGCAAAGAAGCTTCTAGCGCCCCACATGCGGCTCTGCGGTTGGATCCAATATTCCTGCCGAGATACTCTCCGGACAGGTGTGGAAGGTCGCGCGTGTAGTCGTCTCGAGGAACTTTGGCATACCACAACGAGACGTCTTTATCGCTGGTATTTGAGGGTGCCAAGTTTGACATGAAGATAAGCATCGCGGAACATGCGGCAGTGGCGCCTGGCGTAACGTTCGCGACCAGTTCTCGCTGTTCCCAAACTACCTAGGTACCAGGCATCTCGAACGGCCCAACCAATACCAAACTCTGCGCGCTACGCCAACAAACAACGCGCGCAATGACGTCGAACGCCCTCGTGATGTGTCAGGAAACGGCGCGAATAGCAATCCCCCCAAGATCAGAAAGTCCATGCGTGCATCGGAATCGGAGCATGGGGAGAGGGGCGGGTTGGTGTGAAGGCCATGCATGCATATCCCCTCACCATCGGAGAAAACACTTTACTTCGGCGCCCATGCCTGTTTGGGACGAGCCGGGAGGGGAGTGCAGAGGGCGCATACCTTACTAAAGTACGCCGTCCGACTTGTTCCGCTCCAGCCTCGTCTTCCCCCGGTACTCCAGCCCGTGTTGTTGGGTAGGTGGGTGGAACCCGGGGTCCTCGCATGGCTCTCGCATGGCGGGTTGGGGGCTGCTTCGGGCAGAACCGGCGGCGCAGACATCACTGCTCAAGCATCCGGGAGAGAAGATGCTTAGCAGTTCTTATCGCTCCGACTGTGTTGTCGCTGATGTCGCATCTTGAGCGTTACTGTTGTCCCTCAGGTTTAGCGCTGAAGGCGATATCAATAGCTGCGACCAGGCACCAAACCAGTTCAGCATTGATCTGAAAGTCGGAGGTGGACCACATCGCTAAATCCACCACCAAAGCGCCAACATCGGACCATTCGACTCCCTCCGACATTCTAGAGCTCCGATCCAATACGCTACCGCAAGAACCAGTTAAAGCCATTAGCTAAACCAGTCTCCATCCGACGAATCCATATCAAGCATCGTGAACTTCATGTGCAGGCGGTGTACCCGGTCGAGAAGCTTCAGTGGAGTGTGCCTTGACTCGGGCACCTGGAAATCCCATACCATGGCCTTGGCTACCTAAAACAGAGCTTGCATAATACAATACTCGTGGTGTACATAGATCCACTCTGGGCGGGATCCCAAGAGTGATATTTTGCTTTGCTCTCTTCTTTTTCGTGGTGATCTTGGTGGTTAGAACTCAACTCATCACCTCTATCGCGGACTTTGACCTGGAACGCGATGGTTTCATTCGTGTCTTGCGACGCAATTCTACTGACTTCAAAGATGGCGGCGTTCTATCATTACGACGCTGCAAACAGCAGCATGTGTACGCGGCTGTATCTAGGTATTGTCGCACAAAGAAAGACTTCGCCGCACAGATATCAACTATCGCACCACATTCAGAGATGTTTTTCCTCGACGTAGCATCGTTCATCAAGTCTTCTTTTTGCATCAAGTAGATTTCGAACCCGTAAGAGTCGCTGAAGAAGCGTCTCTGTTGCAGCGACTTTGTGTCGCAACGCTCATTCGCCGCGTCATTGCACACCAACCAACCCCTTCCTCTTCCTTTCATAACACCACAGTTTGGCACCTTTCTCCCCTCCCTTTTGCTTCCCCCCTCAAACCCACAATCCCATCTCCATCCTCCCCCTACAACTTACTCTTCTCCTCCCTGCCCACCAACCCCAGATGCGCCACCCTAACCGGCCTTGTAACAGCATAAAACGCCATCCCGCTCGACTTGGTCGAAAACTGCACCTTGGACCCTACATGAAAAAATGCAAAATCGCCCGCAACAAGATGATGCGTAATGCCCGTTGCCTCATCCAGCACATCGATCTGACCACTCAGAACATATTTCGTCTCCTCAAAGTCATAAGAGGCAGGTTTCGAAGGCCCGGCTTCGATCTTGTAGAAGCCGGATGTTAGGTGCGCGGGTGAGGAGGGGGTTTGTGTACGGATGCTGGCGTGAGTTAGAATAGAGTTTAGATGATGGAGCGTGGCCTTGGAGGAAGTGAGACGACGCAGAGCGACGAGCCACTCTCGATTCCCGCGATACATAATTGTTCTATACGCAAAGATGCTCCTCGAACGAGATGGATCGCGATCATTGCAGACTGGCTTGGATTGCTGGGGAAAGAGGGAAAAGGTGATGATGGGACAAGAGGGGGTGGCTTACGTGTGGAAGTCGGCGACGGTTGCGTTGTCGCCTTTTGGCAGGGGGATAAATTCATGGCCTGCGCCTTTGATGACGGTGAGGGGGACGAGGGTTCCAGACACTGATTTCACGATGCGCGTTAGTAATGCTGTGAGACCGCCACCTCGGTTCCATCCCATCTGGGAGGAGGGTTGAGCTTACTGTTTGATGCAAGTTCGTAGAATTCTTAGTAGTAGTAACGTCAATGTGATATTTGAGATGAAATTAGTCCAGAAAGCACATTATAAAGAACGAAGGTGATGTTGTTCGTGCTCCTTCCCCCACAATGTGTGGGATGCGATAGTTGCCCTAATCGGGTAAGCCGTGCCTGACTGCCCAGGTCAGGTAAGCCCCTCCATTGCACTTTCGACATGGTACGTAATGAGCGCAACACTTGAACTGAAAGGAACATGCGTGGAAAGTGCGTACACTAGCTAGCGATGCGCTTCAGTATACCAGGCGAATATGACGACACTATTACTGCAACTCTCACGCAAAACATCCATCAAACTTCACGCCGTTCACAGACTCAAGAACAAGCATATCGAGTAAAGAAACTCATAACTTCTATCTAACACCTCACTAATCCTCTCACCCAGTCCACCCAACCAGTCTCCCATCAAGGTCTAGAGAGACAACCCGGGCCTGCACTCCCAGATCATCCTCTTTCCCATCTGTTCGAAACCAGCCAGCTGGACCAGGCATTCCTGTATCATCACATCTCCATCTCATAAACTCGTGAAAAACTCCCTCCACTCCAATTTTGAACTGATATTCGTACACAGAGAGAGAAAAAGAAGAAAAAAAGAGCCCAGGGCATAAACCATCAATCACTACTCTTCTTCTCATCTACCAAATGCTCATTCCTTCACCCCTCACCTGAAAGGGTATAGTTCATATCCCGGTACACACATACACGCCCCTTCCTGCGCCTGCAATGCAAAGAAGATCGTAATATGTAATCATCGAAAAAGCGATATTCGTGAGGTAAAGAGGCCGTTCGTTCGTTGTTTGTGACAGCGAGCGGGGTAAGTTTAGGCGAAGCCAAAGTACTCGCCACCAGCTGTCATGGCGGTGTAAAGGGCCTTGCGAAGATCTTCGTACGTCTCGTACTCAGGGAGGTCGAGTTCTGTCAGATTTGTTAGTATTGGGTTGAGACAAAGGGTAGGGGGTATAGCTTACGGTTGAAGCAAGTATGGCTAGATGGCAGACGATCCTTGCTGCCGTAATCGCGGTGGATGTTGAACTTGGAGAAGCCGTTCATACCCTCGAGCTCCTTGAAACCATTGAGCGGCACCTTACTTGTACCAGTGACGAATTGAAGCAGCTTGGCTTGCTCTTCCTTCTCGAACGTTCGGACAGCGCGCCAGAACCACTGGATCTGTGGCGAGGCAGCTGTGTAGTTGTGGTACTCGGTGTTGTTCTTCCAGTCATCCACATTGATGTCAGGCAGACCGGAAATGAGAAGTTCGAGCTCCTGTTCGCTAAAGATGGAGACGAGCTCCGCCGGAACGATATCGTGGAAGCCCTTGAGGAAGTTCTCGAGCTGCTCTTGGACGGCGCCTACAAGACGGTGTTCAGTGATGAGGCGGACGTACTCGTGCTTGTTATCTTCGGTAACGGGAATGTTACGGCCGTTTTCGATGAGGTCGACGGTTTGCATCTCTCCAAAGGCTTCGACCTCAACTGAGAAGGTTTCCGTTATAATATCCGTGATCTCGTTGTGAATCATCCATTCCAAGGACTTGTAGTACTCAAGGTCAAGCGTCTCCATATCCTTGAGACTGACCTGCTTGCCCATGATCTGCTTGTAGACCGCTCGGCTGAAATGGCAGTCGAGGACGCGGCCTTCGTAAAGTGCTTTGCCAATGATGCGACCAATGAATTTGAAGAACATCAGATGCTCAGGGTTGATCGAACTAAGGCGATTGGGGTGGAATGTCGTGCGGTCGGAAGCGACAGGTACAAAGAGAGCGTAGTCGGCGTTGAACATCTGTCGTGAGATGGACTGGAACCACTCGCGGGTAACACCACCAGCGTCAACACCTTCCTCACCGTGGAAGCGGATGCTGAGCTTGCCGAACTTCATCTCATCGGCAGACTTGAAGTACAGCGACTTGAAAGAGTCTAGGAAGACTTGGTCTCGACGAACAGAGAGCTGGAGAGGCTGGTGTTGTTGTCGGTCGCCACCTCGCGAATGAAGCTTTCGGTTGAAGTAGTTGCGCTTGTTGTCGAACTCTAGCACCTTGGAATTTTTCACAAGTAGGGAGAAAGTTCCGCTCATCAACTTGGGGTTCTGGCGTACAAGATCGTTGAGAATCTTGCGGTGCTCTTCAGTGAAGTTGAAGAACAGGTTCTCCATCCTGCTCTCAGGTGGCGGACTAGACAAAGCGAACTCCTTGGGAAGCATCTTGGACAGAGGCATGTCCTTGAGTGTGGTGTTCTTGCAAACAACCATCAGACTCTCAATCAGCGGAAGCAGCGTAGTAGCAATGTTGAGCATGTTGCCGCGCTGGCGGATGACAGTGAGACATTCGCTGAGCTTTTCCCATAGTGGCGCGAAAGCAGAATCCTCGTATAGGGTCAAGAGGATGTCTTCCTTCTGAGCGGGCTCAAGTGCCTCTGCAGCGGCCTCAGGCTTGTCCTTGCTATCGCGCGACGGGTCGAAGAGGTAGTCGAGCGCCGTCAAGGCCCTCAGCAGCTTGGTTTGGTCGGAGCTTGCTGGGGAGAACTTGGCAAGAGCGATGCCTTGGACGTCAGTAGGCGAACTTGCCTTTGAAACTTGAACCGTCAAGCTTGCAAGATCCTGAAGTGTTGAGCTAGCAAGATCCTTGGCAATACCAAGCAATTCTTGACCGAAGATCTCTTTGGCACCTGGGATGGGCGAGAGGTTGCTGATAACCGACAAAGTCTCCTGGAAGACCTTGCTGTTGCACTCCCGAGCAGCCAAAATCTTAGCGACGAGTCGAAGGTTGGCTTCAGGTACATCGGGTGGTGTGAGTGTACGGTGCTTCTTCTTGTCCTCTTCGGCCTTTGACTCGTCAGGCTTGGAAGTACTGCCCTCACCCTCAGTAGCGCTATCTGGCTGAGCAGCGTTCCCGGGAGCAGTCGTCATCTCCGTATCTTGACCATCTGGGCGTGCTTCCGTGGTTGTGGTATCAGCAGGCTCATTGTCAGTAGTCTGACCCTCCGCAGAGGCCTCTGCCTCCTTCTTTGCGTCTTCAGCAGCCTTCTCCTTCTCCTTCTTGAGGACTTGAAGTGGTGCTGTGATGACCTTGAGCAGTGACGTCAATTGCTCCATGATGGTAGAACTCTCAACGATAAGCTTACGGTCCAGCAAGGTGAGGAGCGCATTGACTGGGTACTTATTCGCCTTGCTTTCCTTCGCCTTGCCCTTGCGGTTGGCACGATTCTTGAAACCGACGCCAGTCTCGTGCTCGGTCAGGAAGAACTGCCATACGGCAGGGTTTTTCTCAGTCAGCTGGGTAAGTGTGTTGAGACATTGCTGAACGACCATGAGTGGAGAGACATCGGCGTTGATCGATAGAGCACCATTCTTGCGGGAGATCTTCGGAGTCTTGTCTGCTGGCTGCTGAGGCTGCTTTGCTCGGATAGACAACTGAGCAAAGCTCTTTTCAACTGCATTCACATCGGCGCTACCGTCTTGAAGAATGGAGAGCAGGATGCTAATGACCTCGGCGCGGTTTTGACGGTTCTCGCAGACATAGCGAAGGATGGAGCTCAGGCTACCCTTGGCGCTGCCCTGTTGTGGGATGAACATGAGCCTTAGGAGCGTGGCAACGCCTGCCTTGTCAAGCATTTGAACGCAAGGACGCGTCTTCTTCTTCTGTGAAGGGTCGTCTGGCTGCGCGCGGCGATCACGTCTATAGCCGAAGTCGTTGAACTGGTGTAACCGGCGATCACCTCCCATTGCTCGAGCTTCCGCAGACATGTCAGGTGGAAGTTGGCGCAGAATGCTCTCATCGGTATCCATAAGTACAGCAGCTCGCAGATTGGGGTCCAGCGATGCGAAGAAGCTTGCAGGATCCATATCTTCTGCCTGTGGAGGGGCGGCGCCAGCACTGCTTTGGTCGCGACGGCGGCGCTCTTCCCGCTCTCGGCGTCGACGCTCTTGCGCCTCCTGTGCAAGCAACTCATCTCGGATCTCTGGAGGAAGAGCAGCCAAAAAGTCTGGGTTGATGTCTGTAGGTGCCTCACCTGCTGGACCTGCCTCCTCGGGCGCCGCCGGAGCTTGTGCTTGTGCCGGGGCTTGCGATTGTTGCTGCTCTTGTCGTCGCGCTTGAGCCCGTTGTTCGGCTCTACGTTCAGCTACCTGCTGCATCAAGACTTCCTCGCGCAGATCCTCGGGAAGAGCGTCTAGATACTCGGTGTCGATGCCCAAATCCGTAATGTCATACTCATGACCTCTAATCGTTGTTGTGACTCGCGGTGCTGGAGGCGCAGCAGGTTCCGCAGGCGCGGGCTCAGCCGCAGCGGAGGCGTCAGCGGGCGCTGACGAGGACTCTCCGATCTCAACGCCCTCCATGGCTTGCGCTTCAGGTGCAGTTTCGGCCTCAGTCTTTGGCTCGCTTTCTGCGGGTTCCTCTTGAGCTCGGCTCGCAGCCTCAGCAGCTTCACGTTCCTGTCGCTCACGATCCTCCTTCTCTTGTGCTTCGCGCTTCTCACGCTCTTCACGCTCCTTCTGCTCTTTCTGTTCCTGCTCTTCCTTGAGTTTGCGTGCGACCTCAGCCTGACGTTCCTCCAGTCGCTTCTTCGCCGCTTCCATGGCAGGAGGAACCATGACCTTCAGAATGGAGTTGACCACTCGCTGGCTCTTCTCTATCGCGCCAGGACCAAATAGGATCCGGGCTTCTTCCTGCCAGCGCTGGCTGGTGTACGCCTTGACGAATGATACCGCAGAATGTGGGTCTTCGCGAGCAGTGCGTGATGTGTACGACTCTCGCATGCGAGCAATATCGCGTCGCATCCCGCTATCGAAGGGTGGCATACCCATGGGATTGGCGAAAGAAAGGTGCAATGCGCCTCCGTGCTGGTGTATTGTCGGGCCAGTAGTAGAGCTCATAGCATTCAAAAGATTGCTGATGAACGAGACTGGGCTGTCAGATTGGCTGAAAACGCG